ATGGCCATTTTTTTTTTTTTTTTTTTTTTTTGGGGGGGGGGGGCAATTTTAACCTTCAATTTAACCTTCGATTGCTTCGTAGCATTACTTCGAACACCTTAACATTTTATTTGTGCTTAAATTTAAATGGGATTTTCAAATACAAGTGATTATAATATAATGTCTTAGTTTTCTGACGGCTTTTGTCTAAAAAGCCGTCAGACAGCGAAGCTATGGCCATTTTTTTTTATTTTTTTTTTTTGGGGGGGGGGGCAATTTTAACCTTCAATTTAACCTTCGATTGCTTCGTAGCATTACTTCGAACACCTTAACATTTTATTTGTGCTTAAATTTAAATGGGATGTTCAAATACAAGTGATTATAATATAATGTCTTAGTTTTCTGACGGCTTTTGTCTAAAAAGCCGTCAGACAGCGAAGCTATGGCCATTTTTTTTTTTTTTTTTTTTTTTGGGGGGGGGGCAATTTTAACCTTCAATTTAACCTTCGATTGCTTCGTAGCATTACTTCGAACACCTTAACATTTTATTTGTGCTTAAATTTAAATGGGATTTTCAAATACAAGTGATTATAATATAATGTCTTAGTTTTCTGACGGCTTTTGTCTAAAAAGCCGTCAGACAGCGAAGCTATGGCCATTTTTTTTTATTTTTTTTTTTTTGGGGGGGGGGGCAATTTTAACCTTCAATTTAACCTTCGATTGCTTCGTAGCATTACTTCGAACACCTTAACATTTTATTTGTGCTTAAATTTAAATGGGATGTTCAAATACAAGTGATTATAATATAATGTCTTAGTTTTCTGACGGCTTTTGTCTAAAAAGCCGTCAGACAGCGAAGCTATGGCCATTTTTTTTTTTTTTTTTTTTTTTTTGGGGGGGGGGGCAATTTTAACCTTTGATTACTTTGAATACATTACAATTTTAATTGTGCTTAAATTTAAATGGGATGTTCACATACAAATGCATTATAAAATAATGTCTTAGTGTTTAATTTCTTTCTCCTTGTGCATAACTGTCCAAAACAGCCTGTTTTTTTTAACTATACGTCAAGTACAGTTTTGAATACAGCTGATGTTTGATAAATCAATAATTCATATTGTTACTGTTATGACTATGAATTTTTATTTAACCTGCTTGCATAATTGTTCAAACATTATTTGAATTGTGAAAATCACCCATCTCTCTCAATTTTCATTTATTTGTACAGAATTGGAGCCTTCTACGTCAAGTGCAGGCGGTCAAGCTCCAGGTCCGTCCTCAGCCTCAGCAATAAGACGCTTACGGTCAAATTCCAGTGTTGCTGGTGCTTCAAAGCAGCCCTCTGTCTCTGCCCACATTCTACCAAAGATTTGCATCAACTGTCGACAAAATAAAACTTATAAGGACTCTGAGGGGAAGAAAAAGAAGGAACCATTAATGCTGTGTCAATAGCCAGATGGTGGAAAAGTAGCAACAGCTGCTAAAGACAAGAAGGACGTCCACATTCTTCTTCAGATCCAGGACCGGGACTGTGTAGCAATAGAGGTCAGGTATCATCGCAGTTGTTTCAGGAGCTATACTGTCTACCAATCAAGGAAAAGTGTTGAGCCCATCAAGGAGCAGAAGTATGGAAAGGCATTCCTTACATTTTGCAGTTATGTTGTAGACAAGAAGATCATACAAGAGAAGCAAATATATAGAATGACAGCACTGAGAAGATTGTTTGTAAAAGCCGTTAAAGATGTTGAGTCTAAAGATGCATCAAATTACAAGACCTACAGCCTAAAACAACGCCTGAAACGAAAGTATCCACAACTCTGCTTTCTGCAGCCTAAGAAGAGGTATGCAAGTGAAATGGTGTATGTCGAGACGTTATCAACTGAAGACCTTGTGCCAGGAGCAGTTGGTTCTGAAGGAGAAGAAACAGACACCACCACTGATACAGACGCCCTATCTATCTATCATTAATGACTCATTATCCAAACCTCATGTTCCACTTGAAGGTGTTCCTCAGGGATCCGTCATCGGCCCTTTATCATTTACTCTGTACACTGCACCACTTGAAGATATTATTGAAGCGCATGGTTTAGGCCGAATGATATATGCAGATGACACCCAAGTTTATGTTGTTTTGAAACGTGATTCCGACCATTCTGTTATTGATAATGATATCAAAGCTTGGTCCACTGCTAATGATTTGAAGTTAAATGAGGATAAAACTGAGGTTATACATGTAACATCTCGATTCAGAAAGTCCTCCCGTTTACCATCTGTCGAAATTGCTAATGTTCCTATACAACCTGTCAAAAGTGCACGTAACCTTGGTGTCATCTTTGAAAATGATCTTAGGATGGATGATTATATACAAAATATTTGTCGCTCAGCTTCATATGCCTTGTACAAGATAGGTCGTATTAGAAATTTTCTTGATCAAAAATCTGCCGAAACGCTTATACATGCATTTATTACGTGCCGTCTTGATCAATGCAATAGCCTTCTTTATGGCCTTCCGGACTCGCACATTGCAAAACTCCAGAGACTCCAAAACTCTGCTGCCAGGCTTGTAACACGCACGCGTTCTTGTGAACACATCACCCCAGTACTTCGTGAATTGCATTGGTTGCCGGTGACGTACCGCATTATGTATAAAATCTTAGTTTTAACTTATAAATGCATTCATGAATTGGCACCAATTTATCTGCAAGAATTAATCGAGGAATACAAACCCTCACGCAATTTACGGTCATCTTCACAATTAAACCTCGTATCTACTTCTGTGTCAACTCTCTCTTATGGTAATCGCTCCTTTCGCAAAGCTTCTGCTGAACTTTGGAACAGATTACCTTTAAATTGTCAAACCGTTAACCTATTCAAAACTAGTCTCAAGACACATTTATTCAAAATTGCGTTCGATGAATAATTAACTCTGTTCACTTTGATGTGTATTCCATATGTATTGTAATTTGTAGGTTTATTTGCATTTTTAGTTTTGTATAAGATGTAATTGTATATCAGTCTATTTTGTGTGTATAGCGCTTAGAGACTTCGGTGGTAAGCGCTTTATAAGTAACGTTTTTATTATTATTATGATTATTATTTTTATTAAATTAAATTCGATTTTCAAATATTTATTTTCTTTTGTATTTTATTGTTTTTTATTTCTTATTATATCTATTGTTTTATTTCCAATGTATTCTTTTGTTCTGGAACACATCAAGTTACTTTGAGAAACATATAAAAGCAATTTGATATCAATTCATAGTATTCACATTTCTGCTTGTACATGAATATATGCAATTATAGCATATTTTTCATGACATGCGCATACTAATTTTTATGTAACACCTTGCAGGTATATCCGATTTCGACAAAAATGGTATCAAAATGTGCGTAAGACTTGAGGGAAAAAAAGTCATGAAACGACAATTCAAAATTCCAAGCGGTTGCGGCGCAATCTCCGAAAATGTCGAGGGGGGGCCTCCCAGCCCTCCCCCCCCCCCCCCCCCCCCCCCCCCCCCCCCCCCCCCCCCCCTCCCGTACAGTAAGGGTTAAGTGAAATGAATGCTGTATGTATTGTTCATCAAACTAAAGAAGCAGCACAAAGCAAAGTAGTTTGTTTTTTACTGTAATATTTATTGTTTGTAAATGAACTTCCTCATTCAGAATAATTGTTAAATTATTACAGGCTTTGTTGCAGAAAAATGTCAAACTTAGGTATTTTGGCTTAAAATGTCATTTTCATGCAAATTTCCTGAACTATACAGTGTTTTGTGAAATATTACATCTTCCCTATAGATATTTTGTACAATAAATATGAAGTTAGACCACCACAGCGGTATCACATTCACTGATTAAAACCAATTACCACCTGTATTAGTGAAAATCACTTGCACCGGATGCAGTCCTTTTATGAAGGAATGCTTGGTTTTAGATCTTTTGTTTTGGCCGCCATTTTTTCGGAAGTGCTCCACTTCTGGACGTGGGAACTATCAGAATATTGATAAGGAACACAATACCCACATTTTAAGCCATAGTTTAGGTAGTCACAAGGAGGAGACTACAAAAATCATTTTAGGAAGCTCTTTTGACCCCATGCCCTATAGTCTATTGGTTTACGGTATAAAAAAAACATATAAGTAATTATGGTAATTATTTTACAATAATACAGATGGATCGTTCTATTCAGAGCCATTAATCTAATGGATTAGAAATTGTTATAATTAAAATAAGCCAGTGAGCTCTGTTAAATTAACCATCTAGATCATTCCCATGTTGTCACTCTGTAGAATGATAAACCGGTAATCAGGATTTAAAGATTTCCCCTTATTTGAGCATGACCACGCATAAATGGAAAGACCGGATATGAATGGACTTAGTAACATAGTTTTTAAAACAATTTCCATAAGCAGATATGATTGCTCTAAAGCAAGTTCCCGTCAAACCTGTTTTCTCACAACCGTTTTCTTCTAGCATCATAGACAACAGTAATTACATCTCAACACCTTTGAAATTATATAGACACTGTCTGTTTAATTCAGGTTGATTAATGTAAACTCTTATAATTGACATAATCATTGAGCGATCAATGAGTTTCGTATCACACTTCTGTGAGATTGAATACAAAGAACTATTCTTTCCTGAAGGAAAAAACAATCTATCATGAAATTCAATATGTATTTACAACATTTAGAGAACCATCGACAAAACAGGCCTAATTTTACATGACACTCTATCCATGCTGTATGTATAAAACTAGGGTTTACATTTTATTACTGGTATGTGTCTGAAACTAAGGTGTACATTTTATCACTGCTATGCGTATAAAACTAAGGTGTACATTTTATCACTATTGTGTGTTTAAAACTAAGGTGTTGTCTTTCTATGAAACTAAGTTTTACACTTTATCACTAGTATGTGTCTGAAACTAAGGTGTACACTGTGTCACTGTTGTGTGTATGAAAATAAAATGTTCTAAAACCATTAAAAGAACTGACGAGTTTGTCAAACTACACGAAATGAAGTGGAATGTAATAGTAGGACTTCAGATAGTACACACAGCGCAAGTAATTTCGTAACCATCGATGTAGGATCCACAATCCAAGCCCCCACCCGCCAGACACCGGACTTCTGTCATATACAACAGCGCACCATTCTCATTCCCCATGGTACCCGCTTTAGGAACCATCTCTCGGTCCACACACACAAATTCCGATCTATTGTGTTCGTATTTCTCTGCCATAAGATAACCAGCGTACTCTAAACGCCACTCTTGAGAAGGACACACGTTGCGGGCAGGAATCATAAGTTTCCTGGTGCGGTTAGAGGGCGCCCTACAGACTGCGCAGGTCGGAGTATGGTCATGCATTGGTTGAATGCGTGAAGGAGCAGTATGGACTTCGTATTCAGAGGTGTATAGTTTGGCTCGGTGTTCATCTTTGGAAGCTGTTACCTCGTCATAGATAGGCTCGTCCGGCATACAGAGATAATTTGAGCCGCTACCAGTCTGAATGTAGTGTGCACCTCCAATAGAACCTGAATAAATCACAAAGCAATGTAACGCAAACAAAGGTAAACCCACTTAAGTTCGAGTTCATTGAAATCTAAATTAAGAATGATGTAAGACTAATGACAGCCACTGAAGGCCACTCCGGAGAACGTTAAATAAATAATTTTCTTCCAGGTACAATTTTAAACCTGGGTGGAGAGTGGCAAATGTAGATACATATCTTGGCAAAGGACATTCGTAGGGGTCTGGGACTCGAACATTGAACCATATGATCTAATGCTTATACGACACCTCTACAGCCCATGACGGCATCTCAATTTTGCACTTGAGCTCATCCTCATGGTTGGTAATGGGATTACATAGCTCATTTGCCAAACAGTTTGTAAAAGGATGTCGTGGTCTAACGGTACGTTACCGGAATGATTATCACATGGTTCGCGGTTCGAGTTCCGCATTTAATGTGCGTTGGCAAAAATGTATCTACATTTCCCACTCTCCACCCAGAAGTAGAAAGTGTGAATCTGGTAAATATTAAATTATTGAATGCCTTTAGTGTTTTAGGGCAGCTGGGATAATGCCATGGTAATTTGTTATATTATTTGTAAGCACTTAGATAATCCGATAGGATTGGTATTTGCGCTATTTAATTGTAGCAATTATTACTACCTTAATATCAGTGAATGTAATGATCTCTTTGGTAGAGATTGAACTTTAGTTTAATACAAATTTTAATCGTGCTTACAATGTATAAATAGGGGTAACATCACAATAACTCAAATAGTCACAAAAAACTTGGCATACGTTTGTGCATTCACGTATTCCTCACCCATTCTTATGCACTTAAGTTTAAGCCAGTGACGCTATTAATGGCTTGTGTTTCGTTTGTGATGATGAAGAATTTTTGCACAACACCAGATTGATTATAGATTACACTAACATTGACTTTCGAATAAAATAACTCGAGGTTATTTCATACTCTATTGTGTATCCAAATACATGTATGTTTGAGATACGTTAAAGTGTTCGCACATTTCAATATGACAGACGGACAAGGATATTGAAATTGCCTGTGGTTGATTCTAAGAAAGTCCTTGCGATCATGTCAAAACCATGTTAAAAGTTTTCTTCCCCATGTAATATTACCCATCTGCACCAACCTGAATAGATGAGTTCTGCATCTTCGGGACATACATCGTTACCCCAGCGAGTATAGATGACACCAGGAAGACTTGTAGGGGTACCTACTGGACGTACTTGATCCTCATCGTCGCTGGGTGAAATGGGTTTTTCAGCTAAAATGTTAAACATTTAGAAATTTTATACATCGGAGTCTATAGGCAGGATTTATTTGATTACGGATATTTTCAAATGCGGTTAAGTTAAGAAAGCCGAAAAATCTATGAACGAACATATTGTTTGTGTAATTTTCCCGGCTTATCAATGACTAATTGCACGTTTGCTTTTTTTTAAGCGGCGGCTGTTTTCACATGAGAATGTGAAAACAAAGCCCCCTTGAGTGACCTCCAACTATCCGTCTCCATATTATATTTATTTTTTTCCACATACTAAGAATCTTGCTCTACGATTGGTCAAAAGTAAATCACGTGATGAAAGATAGTTCGCCCATTATTGATGGGAGAAGCAAAAAGTTCGTTACACTGTGTAGATAGTTCTACTATCTACACAGTGCAACGCACTTTCACTGAAGATTATCCAAAAGCGCACTAAAACAGGCGTATTTAAGCGCGCATTAACAATGAGCGCAATTAAAGCAAACACATGCGCGCACCGTACCCTTAAGGGGCTGGGTTAAACTTTTAACTTTTTTGGTGTAAATTTGGGCCTGGTGTCTTTCATGTAGATGCATACACGTCCTTTTCTGTTTGTAGTTAAATTGTTTTAGATGTGGAATATAAAACAAATAATCACCTTTTGGTTTCAGGCGATGGCAGACTATCACTTCCTCGTTGATCAGAATGTATACGCTATCTTTCCTCAGCTTCGCTTCGGAAAGATAGCTACATCCAGATCGCCTCGGCTAGTTTGTCCCATCATCTTCAACAACGGTAGTTATTTGCTTAATAGTATTTCTTCATTGTGTAAATTGCCAAAGACTACACAGGAGTTACAATATCCGAAGAGTTTTTTCCAATAACTTGAATTTTTATTTCGCTAGCCATGCATTCCGGCTTGAATAATCACAATGTCACAGTTATGAATGTTCTACATCTGCATGTCGTGCCATATCGAGTCAGGTTGATGTTGTTATATGCCTACCTTGAAGACTTGTTGGTGCATCACGTCCGTCTCTCCCGTCCCTTCCGGGAACACCAGCAGGACACAAGAAACATTGACCTAAAGAAGAAACAGCATATATATTTCATATCCAGGTTAATGATCTGCGAGGCTTAAATACTTCTGCTTGCATATATTTCAAGTCAAATAGCTCTTTCTGAAAGTTTTTCTTAACCTGCATGATAATGACCTACTTCATACGTTCCATTGATAATTTCTTTTTTCTTTTAGTTGACTCATAGAGATTTAGTTTCGAATATTGATATCTCCTATTTTTGGACTTTGAAGGGACTCGCGTGGCCAACCAACATGACCTATGACCCTGGAAGTTCGTTTGGGCATTGAGGGCTCTCTTATTTTTCTATTTTCTTCTTGTTTACGCATCTATAAGCTTCAATGATGTCTATACTTTCGAGATGTACAGTTTACCAATACGGCACTGTCTAATACAGTGGTTTCAGATTTGATTTTGGAAATTTCGAGGTCCATTTTTTGATTATTACATGCTGGGTTTTTAGGCGCCTCAAGGCCTGCAATGTGTCGAATACCCAGTGCATACGGTACATTATTTGCTGATGTAGGACTATATACACAAGCAACTTGTGGGGTCTAGCTTTTTTTGGCATGCCTGGTTAGAGTATCATCATTCGAAAGGTAAATGCAACGTAAACATTTGATTTCCTGGTGCACGCACTAATTTTCTTTGTAGGTGGGCCTTCGTGTACGATGGGGATTAGAGAAATCACAAAACTTGTGGTCTCTGTTTCATAAGACTTGTTATGAATTACTAAATTTTAAGCTATGCTAAATTCATTGTATTAGATTCGCTATTTTAATACGACATTTTTATAAACTGGGACCTGGATTGCATACCAGAATACATAGGCCATGAGTATGGTCCGAATGGGTTCTGACCCATGCTTGGCTGCTCGGCACCAGATGGTGGGAACGATGTCGGGAGAGTCGATGACGAGTCGAGTTCCCTTCGACGTCGTGTCTTATCAGGTTCTCCCAGCTCAAACTCGGTCTCGATAGAAGCAGGAATGTGAATCTTTGCCATCATTGATGGATTCTTCGCGACGAGCTCGAGAGTTAAGAAGGAACGGGTGATCTCAGCAACGGATTCCTACATGATTTGGTAGTTGAAAAGTTAAGATACAAGTTATAGAAAAGAAAATCACTAATACATACCCTCGATATTATTTTCTATCATAAAGGCACTGTGGTAAGGGTCTCTTCAAATCTGTTATGGAATTGTATTCTGGTTGTGCCTTCAACCCTACGACAAGTTGCCAGGAGACTATTAACCACAAACACGTTAATCCATAGTCCGCCTTCAAGCAGTATTAGTAGATTTTGAAGATTTTAATCATTCATAAAAAGATGGACCAAAAGGTGGTCTGAAAGTGAATTATAAAATTGCACTGTTTTAGTATAACATAATCTCTAAAAGCCGTTAAAAATGAACTTAATGTGTGCAAGAATAAACAGAAAAAGATATTTGTACCGAAGTTGACGTCGTATGCCTGGTATCGATTAACTGAGAACTCTCAAATCATGTGTAATGAAAATACACGACAGAAAAAAAATGATATAGGTCAAAATGTTCTTTTACAAAACAAAAGAGAGAGTTGTCCTACATGCAGCCTTTTCACACACAGCTAAAATTCATCGTATCCAGAGATGATTTCTATAAACGTGTTTAACTCAACAGTTTTAAACATGTTTATAGAAAATTTTCCCAGTGTGAACATCGTTTATACGATGTTGGGATAGATACGAAGTCGCGAATCATACGCCCCTAAAAGCAGGCTGCAGATACGAAGTTCGTATCTAGAGAGCTTGACATTTTGTGTGTGAAAGGTTATTCGTGTTTAAACGTGTTTCAGACGTGTTTAAACTGGATGGAGCGTGCACTTTGATTGATATGGCATGACCTTCAATGCGCAATGGCACTACTGCGCATTTTACGAGCAGTAGTTAATCACAAAACGATTAACGATCGCACCGAAATTTCTGTGTGTGAAAGGCTCGTGATTAGTTTAAACACGTTTCAAACACGTTTATACTAATCATGTTTATAGAATTTTAGCTGTGTGTGAAAAGGCTGATAGACCACACTGTATAAAGTGAACCATCCATCAAGGCAACTAGCTTCTTTACTCGTTGAGTCGTGAAATGAGAATGAGAGATGATGATTCCTTGATGATATTGATTTTCCTTTTCCATTTTGGTTTCTGAAATATTTGAAAGATTGACGCTTGGTGTTCGGTACATAATGAGTGGACTAAAACTCGACCCACTTATGCGCATAACAAACAACGCATCGCGTACACGACGCAGTCGACTGGCGTGGTATTTCTCAATACTAAAAAAAGTGGGGCTTTTTTTATTTGGAACTAGAACCAAAGTTAAAAATCGAACGATTAACCTTTATATTAATGATGTAAGACTCAATCAATACATCATTGCAAATACCTGGGTATGTTTATAGATCATAATCTCGATTGGGATGAATATGTTAATTTTCATGAGAAAAGATATTATTAAAAAGCTGTATCTATTTAAAAGAATGAGGAACTATATATCTCAGAATATTGCACTTATGTTTTATAAAACAATATTTCAAAGTAAACTTGACTATTGTGATGTGGTTTGGAGAAATTTAAAGGAAAAATATTTTAAGAACCTTCAGGTCCTCCAGAATAGAGCCTCAGACTTATATTAAAAGTTGATGCCAGATATTGTACAATTTCCCTGTATCAGCAGTTAAAGCTTGATTTTTTAGAAAAAGAAGACATAAACATGCTCTTTACATGATGTATAAAATTGCTAATCATAATTGTCCTAATTACTTGCTAGATTTATTTGAACTATAAAAATGTAATTGTAATATGAGAAATTCAATTAATAATTTGTTACTACCTAAATTAAAAACATGTTTTTAAAAAAAGAGTTTCAGCTATTTCGGTGCGAAATGCTGGAACTCAATCTCACCAGAACTTAAACGTGAGTTATCTATTATGAATTTCAAACGTAATCTAAATAAGAATATTAGTGCAGCGGCTTAGCAAGAAAATTGTGCACTTTTTGATAAAAGCATGAAACTTCTAGCATAGTTTGCTTTCACCATAAGATTTATTTTCAGATGTGGAGGGAAGTCAGATTTGACCTCTGATGACCCTGAGAGGTCAAATCCAAAATGGCCGCCAGGCCGCATCGTCTAATGTACAAATATGCTTAAGTTTTGAACCAAATAGTCCAGAGAAACGTTTAAGGTGTCATTTCCAACTAACTTGGGGATGCCAATTCATTTGGTAATACTTTTGAGATCGCCTGAACTCAGGGTGTGGCATTTAGGTCAAGGTCAAGGTCAAAATTGACTAAAAATAGCAAGTTTTGAATGGTTACAAATGGATCTCATTTATTTGTCATTTGTTCTCAAATTTCTTTAGGAATGGTTCCCCTGCATAGTCCTCCATTTTAATCCTTTTCAGGTAGTCTATTTCAGTTTGATTTGACCTCTGATGAAACTGAGAGGTCAAATCCAAAATGGCTGCCAGTCCGCAAGGGCTAATGTATAAACGCAGTAACTTTTGAACCAAATAATCCAGAAAAACATTGAAGGTGTCATTTCCAACTAAATTGGGGATGCCAGTTCATCTGGTAGTACATTTGAGATCGCCAGAACTCAGGGTGTGGCATTTATGTCAAGGTCGAGGTCAAAATTGACTAAAAATAGCAAATTGTGAATGGTTACAGAAGGTTAAATCCCCATTATTTGTCATTTGTTCTCCCTAGCTATGTTCTCAAATTTATTAAGGAATGGTTCCCCTGCAGAGTTCTCCACCTTAATCCTTTTCAGTTAGTTTATTTAACAGTTTGATGTGACCTCTGATGACTCTAAGAGGTCAAATCCAAAATGGCCGCCAGTCCGCATGGTCTAATGTACAAGCTTAACGTGGTAACTTTTGAACCAAAAAGTGTAGAAAAACGTTTGAGGTGTCATTTCCAACTAACTTGGGGATGCCAATTCATTACGTAATACATTGAGATCGCCAGAACTCAGGGATTTGCAATAAGGTCAAGTTAAAGGTCATATTAGGCCAAAAAAGTGCTGTTTTCTTTTTTAAAATAAACTTTGCCTTTATTTTGACACTTAAGGTTTCATTATTTTAAAAATTAATAAAAAGACCCGTGTACCACCACTTTGACTATCCAGGGCCAAATTTCATAGAGCTGCTTATCGGCTGGTTCTGTGCTTACGTATTAATTTCTACTTCAAAGCACTGCTAACCGTAAGCACACGAAAATGCATTAACCTTACGCTGCTTACTGGACGAAAATGAATTTTGTAACAATGCAATCCATTGTGAACGTACAAGGTGGACGCCTTGTTTTCTTGCTAACCAAATTTGTCTGCTACAGTTATAGCACGAAAATTTGCTTACCGGTTAGCAGCTTTATGAAATTGGGCCCAGAAGACAAAAAAAGCTATTCCAAATACGACCTAAAACCTGTTCATAACCACAGCTATAGATATTTACATGAATTTAGCACTGTCCACAACTTATGTATATCCTAATGATGGTAACGATCAAAATCTAACAGTCTCCAGAACAAGATCACAGTTCAGTGCATCCTTTCTTGCAGCGACAGTGGATTATTCATGCCACAATTTTTATGCTTCCGGGAGAGTGGTCCAAAGAGGCTTCCACCCAGTTGACACCCGGTGAACATGAAAGATTGGAAGAGTCATACATTGTGCCAGACTCATGGTGGCAACTATCATGATTTTATGAAAAGCCTTGTACCGAAAGCTTGATCTGACACCAAAAGCGATCCCCAGCATCAGGAGCTGTCTTGCTAAATGAAGCCACGGCCAGTTCAACCGCATCAGTACCAACAATACGTATGGATACCCTTTTACACCCATTGGACAAGGCCTGCCAAGTGTGACTCAGCAGCAGAGCAGACTACTCCACTTCAATCTGTTGCATATTATACAGTTCCTTGCCCTGTGGTAGAGGAAGGTAAACGGCTTCGCATGACATGAAATCAAACAATTCGGTTTTGTTCTCATTGAATCGAAGGAAGTCCTTCCAGCTTTCTGGCAGCAAAATAGAAGGAGCCACCCTTTTCCTGGTGCCCTTTCCCTTTTCCTGCCCTATTGAGGCTTTCAGGCTAGCAGGTAAGTATACACCATAGCCAAGGTCGATGCGGATGCTTTTCTCGAGTTGAGCAAAGATGTATGGGGCAAACACTTTTTCTCCATACTCTTGAAATGTTCCAGGGTTGAGCATTTGAACCACAGCTTCACCATCAATAATTATTGCTTGGGCCACAGGTGCACTATTGTTTTCGAGCAGATTTGATTCCAGGCAGCGAAGTAGATCTGCTTTAACTCCAAACCGCATTTACCTCCAGTTAACAAAGCTGGCGGGACTGCCTGGTTTTCATGAGAGAAGAAATTGTCCATATCTCCATCCCTTGTCTGACACGAGATGTAAATCCTCAAAAAGAGACCACAGTCACTCTTAAGTGCTGCAAGCTGTGCCTTCTGTTTTAACATATAACCTTCGACGGCTGCCGACTGAAAAATGGCAACTTGTTCGTATGAAGTGTTTGTGTGACAGCTAGGTGTCGTACACTGCTCTAGCCTTTCTGTCACAAACTTTGTGTACTGCTCACCTAGGGTCTCAATCCTTCTCCCCGTTTCAGCCAATTGGATGTCCATGATATGTCGCTTGTGCCAATGACTAGTATGTCTTGACTTTGTTCTAGAGATGGATTCCCCATCTCTTTCAGTACTGTCAGAAGTTCCCATCCCTCAAGAATGCTGCCTGCACTCCAGGTTGCTGGTCAAGGTGATGTTTGTATAGTGTTAGCAGAAACGTTAATTTGCTTTATGGCATGTTCCTCAAACTCTGTAGCGATTATTTAAATTACTTAAACCAAATAAAACACAAAGTAACTTAAAGAACATCTTACCAGTATTATTGAGCAGTAACGGAAAGGAGCAGTTTCCCTGACTTGAATTGAGGTTTGTACCGTATACTGCCTAGCTGCCCACTGACCATGCTATATGCATATGGTCAGTTACAAGACAACTACTGGTTTGGTGCT